ATATATATAAATTAGTGGGTGTGGTGGTGCGCGTCTGTAATCCCAGCTATTTGGGGGGCTGAGGCAGGAGAATCACTTGAACCGGGAGGTGGAGGTTGCAGTGAGCTGAGTTCGTGCCACTGCTGTACTGCCTGGGTAGGAGACTGAGGTTCTGTCCCAACAACAGCAACAATAGCAACAAAAATGTAGATTCATCCTGCTTTGTAAAAACTTAAAAAAATTTTTTTTCTACTCACACACCACCACAATTATCAACACAGAAAAAGAATTCTGTGGCCAAATGTGTGGGCAGTTTTCCCCACACGCTGAAGAGCTGGTATCAGTTGAGCGTCCTACAGTTCAATGCCGACACTATCTACCTGGAGATAGTGTCTGATCCTGCTGATTGAATGCAGAGTCTCTGAGATTGCTCCCTAACCCTCATCCGTCACAAGTCTGGGCCTCAAATGCTTTTGACCACCGACTTCACTCATGTTGGGGTTCCCTTGATCCTCGATTGCTAGAGTGTTTCACAGAATTCAAGGGAACACTTGTATGTTTACTGGTTTATTCTAAAGGCTATTTCTTTAGAAAGGATACAGGTGAAGAGATTTGTCTGGCAAGTATGGGGGAAGGTGCACTGACTTTCCATGTCCTCTCTGGGGCATTAGCATCCATGAACCTCCATCCAGGTGGTGAGCTAGCTGGAAGGTCTCCAAATCTAGTCCTCTTGAGTTTTTGTGGAAGCTTCATGATGTCAGCGTCAGCATTCCTTCTCCCAAAGTACAGAGTGGGACTCTCTCTGGGGAGGGTCTCTCCCTGTTTTTTTTCTTTGTTTTTGAGACTAAGTTTCGCTCTTGTTGCTTAGGCTGGAGTGCAATGGTGTGATCTTGGCTCACTACAACCCCTGTCTCCTGGGTTCCAGAGAGCCTCCTGCCCCAGCCTCCCGAGCAGCTGGGATAACAGGCATGTGCTACCATGCCCTGCTAATTTTTTGTATTTTTAGTAGAGACAGAGTTTCTCTCCATGTTGGTCAGGCTGGTCTTGAACTCCTGACCTCAGGTGATCCGCCTGCCTTGGCCTCCCAAAGTGTTGGGATCACAGGCGTGAGCCACAGCGCCTGGCCTCCTCTTATTTATTTATTATTTATTATTATTATTTTTTTAAAGATGGAGTTTCACCATATTGGTCAGGCTGGTCTCGAACTCCTGACCTCAGGTGATCCGCCCACCTCAGCCTCCCAAAGTGCTGGGATTACAAGCATGAGCCACCGTGCCCAGCTATTTATTTATTTATTTTTGAGACACTCTTTGATTCTGTTGCCCAGGCTGGAGTGCAGTGGCACCATTTTGGCTTACTGCAGCCCCCACCTCCGAGTAGCTGAGATTACGGGTATGTGGCACCATGCCTGGCTAATTTTTGTATTTTTAGTAAAGATGGGGTTTTACTGTGTTGGTCTCAAACTCCTGACCTCAAGTGATCCTTCCACTTCTGCCTCCCAAAATCCTGAATGGGAATAAGCCATCTTGCTTGGCCTGGGGAGGTTCTTAAGATCCACAATGAGAAAGGGGTATTGGGAGAGATATTAGTAAGAGTTCCACCTTAGGACAGTTGAAGGGAGAGTGGGAGAAGGTCTGAGAGATTCTGTTTCCTGAGGCCTGCCCTTGAGACCTGACATAAGTAACATTATAACAAAAGACTCTAAAAAAGGTCTATGGGAGT